TCCAACTTCAAATAACCTTCTAATTTCTGTCTGCAAGTTCAGGGATATAATTCATTGAACAGTCTCCTTGTGTGAGCAGCTTGAGTGTTCAACTATTTTCCTGCAGAACCTCTGTTGTAGAAGCTAAATGGCTTTGCAATTACATGTTTCTAAAAGGGGATCAGCACCATAGTGGTTTGGTGAAAATGGACCCTTCTGCTGGCTTTACATATTTGATAAGTAATGGATCATTGCCACGATTGTGACATGCAATTGTTTACTGCAACCAAGGAAGAGATCAATCTGGTCAAATTTACTTTCATTTTCTGTCAGGAACGTTCATTTCCTTTGAATGAAAACATCAAACTACCTATTCCGTACTAAGTTCTGAAAGATACAGTTCATTAAAATCATTTTTCTAACAATCATATTGTTGTGAATGGTCAGCACTATAGACACTGTGGCAATGCCACTGTGTAATTTGGCAGAGGGGCTGAGCGGTTCCAGAAAGCAAATACTTTTAGCAGGATAGAGCTCACTTTGCAGTTCTTTCCAGGTCTTCTGGGTTTGGTTTTGTGATCCTGGAGATTTCAAAGAGACCTGGGAGGGATGAAATCTCCATTCTTGGGTCCGTGCGTTAATAGTGACCAGCACCCAATGACTGTGCACAACCCTTATGAAAAGGTGCTAGCTAGTTTTCAGGGCTCAAACCTGGGAAACAGGAGGACCCCACCCAGGAGTCGTCCTCCTCCTTTACGCACATACGCATGTACATGTGCATGCACATATGCGCATATGTGCGTACAGTTCATCAAAATGTCCATTAGGAATGATGCATTCTGGGAATGCAAATAGTGCACGCACATACGCTCGTATATACGCAATATACAATTTTGCTTGCGTTGTGTGTGAATGAGGCCTTAAGCTATTTGAAGCTAAACCTCACAAAACATGAGCTCCCACAGCCTATGTTTGGTTGTCCCTTTATGAAAGCATTCTGTATTCATGTTTGGATACATTTTGGTAAATAAAAGAATGCTTTGGATTTATGATATAGAAACCCCAGTCCTAAAAAGTTCTCTGTTCAAAAAAGAAAAGTAAGGATATTCGGTGTCATTGATGGAAAGTGTCAGAGGGACACATTCTCTGTCTGTGCTGCCCTTGACAGCCATTTAGATTGACTGTAGTGGGAGAATAGAGACTTTGATTCTTATGGGTAACATAGGCTGACTATTACCATTCTTTTTTCAGAAATCTTTAAAAGCAAGACCCAGTTTATTGCTGTTTTGTAATACTATATGCATAGTAAGCTTTAGTCCTGTAACATTTGTATGCAGCACTGTTAAACAGTTCCTTGCTCTTCTGAAGGTAAGGCCCCAACACATACCGGGCGCCCGTCGTCTTTTGTAAATGTCCTGCTTTCCCCAGTTTGCTGCTATGATTTCTGTTTATAGGTTAAATACTTGTGGCTATGCTGATGCCTGCCCAATCTGGGAAGAAATCCATTGAAATTTCTTCTTGCAAGTGCATTGCCAAAAATAACACTTCTGGTTATTAAAGTCAGCAGTTGTTGCATTAGCTAAGCTTGAAGTGCTTCAGGTTTTGCATGTGCCCACCTTTCTAATTCCATATGCTGGAAACTGAAAGTCAGTATTGTGAGAGCTGAATTGTTTGTTTTTACACTGAACCAGAACACACTTTGTTTTGTGTCTGTAACGCAATACAAATTTAGGTCATTCCTTTTTCTTAAAACTCTTGCAGCTGAAACGTTGCCTTTGGAAGAAAATGATACTCCCAAAGATCCAAGGTACTCGGAGGAGTCCATGGATTCTGCACTCAATGCAATCGACCCTCGCAGTCCTTCCCCTCGAAATGCAGAGTATCGCCCAGGGGGAAACACGCCATCGTTTTATAGGACCTCTCTGCAGCCTGTGACTCCTACCTCAAATAGTGCACCACTGATACGCAGATCATCTTCTAGCTCTGCAGGAAACAGCTGTTACTATGATACTAGCAGGAACCGGATACACAGGAGGATAGAAGGTAAACATTCAGCCTGATCTTCACCTCATCATAAAAACACCAGCGGAATAGTCTGTAACACTAAAATATCTCACAGATGAGTGTTTGTAAGGGGTGGCCTGTGTGTCCTATGGAATCATTAAAAGATTCTAGCCAAGTCTGAATCCATTTATTTTTAATTTGCCCCAGCAATTTTATTTCTTTATTTTTGCAAGCATTTGGATACATTCTTCATGCCACTTTACCTATACAGTTCTCACTATTGTGAGGAAATGTGGTATGTGTCTGCATATATTTAGTTGTACTAGGGGGAAAACCACAACCTCTATTTGTTATGCACAGAGGATGAAACAACATGTACAGAGAACAGACCTCAGATAACAGGAAAATACAGAACTGATGTTATGATTTAGACTTGCACAGGACATACTGTATATCTGCACAATCCTCTATAATACAGTGAGTCATCATTTGCCAGGATTTGCAGTCTGGATGTTGTATAACATGTATTTCACATACACTTGTGTGATAGCCCTATTGAGTCACATTCGCCAGTATTCCTCCATTGGCTGGATATCCTATTCTTGAGCAGATTGTCCAGATTATCCAGCGATAACATTTTCGGTAATTATAGTGCAGCTAGTATTTCATGTGCCAGATCTGATCACTTTGAACCATTTGCCTTCTTAAAACAGTGAATCAGTGGTAACCAAGAAGACTTGATGCACTGCAACATGTTCAGCACACAATATATTCGATAGGTTCGGACAGTGTGTAGGCCACAAAGAACCAGCAAGTTATTGGGAAGCAGTAAAAAAAATGGTACATCACTTTCAAATATATCCCAGCATGCAGGGCATTTGTTGGGTGACCCATGTAGTTTGAGAGAGAACTGTTCAGGTAGGGATTAGAGCCTGCAGTTCTCAGGAGAACAGATTGTTCAGAGATCTTTTGTTGCAAACAAAGAAACATCCGAATGCTCGGAAAAGTAAATATGCTTTTAGATTTAAAAGGTAATGCAAGTATAGCTTGTGGAAACATTATCAGGGTTATTCACAAAAGGGTGAAGAGTTTGGAGAAGGCAGGAAAGGTGAACAATCTAGGACAACATAGCTGAACTGGAAAGTGAGCTGAATTGGAGAATTTTTCCAGTTCAGCTATGTTGTCTTAGATTGGTCACTTCTCATGTATTCCCCCAAACTCTTCACATCAAAATAATTGCTTAGGTGTTCTTTTTCTCTTGTGATTATGAAACTACTGTTTGACAAGCTGTTAGGGTTGTATCTTGTGTTATTTTTAGGGATGCACTGATGCTAGTATCGGTGTCAAAACCAATTATTTGGGTGAGTACTCATACATGCCCAAATGCTCCAATTTTTACCCCCGATACCGGAGCTCTTAGTCGGAGGGAGATTTCCTCTGACCGGCAGTGCTGTGCGGGAACATGGAGGCGGCTTCCTGGCCAATCAGGAAGCCCGGCGGCAGGTAATGACACACCACCCGACTTCCTGATTGGCTGCAAAGCCAGCTATTCAGCAAGGAGCCGGCTTCCCGGTCAATCAGGAAGACAGGTTACAGGTAATGCTCCGGCTTCCTGATTGGCCAGAAAGCCGGCTCCATGTTGATTGGCCGGGAAGCCGGCTTCCTGACCAAACAGCATGGAGCCAGCTTCCTGGGCAATCGAGAAGCTGGGTGGCGGGTAATGACATGCAGCCCAGCTTCCTGATTGCCCAGGAAGCTGGCTCCATGCTAGCACAAGTACCAGTATCGGCGATTACTGAAAGACAAATATCGGTACTCGTACTCTTTACTGCAAAAACCGGTATCGGTGCATCCCTAGATGCTGTGTGTTCTATTAGGCGATTCCAGTTCTCAGCAAAGTGTAAGTGAAGATAGTGAACATTTATGGATCTCTGGTAGAGTTTATTTGAATGCAATGCAGTGAAAGCCACTGCACATGGCCACAGGGTACTGCAGCAAGTGCAAAATAAATAACCTAAAATGGGCCTTTACCTGGCATCCTGTTTGACCGGGAAGCCGGCTCCATTCTGTTTGGCTGGGAGGCCAGCTCCATTCTGTTTGACCGGGAAGCCGGCTTCCCAGGCAATCAAGAACCCGGTTGGCAGGTAATGACATGCTGCCTGGCGTCCTGATTGGCCGGGAAGCCGGCTCCTGCTAGCGGAAGTAACGGTACTCTGTATTGGGGAGTACCGAAATAGTCGATACTCATACGGAAACATTTCTGTGAACATGTATTCTATTATAGCACATACATTGAGCCTAAAATAACAACTAGCAGTATTCAGAGTTCAGCAGGTGAGAGTGTTTGGCACTATATATTTACAGATGCATTCTGATTGAAAATATAATGAATAATATTCTATTATAGATTAGAAGAGGCTGTAATGTCTCACTGATATTATATACTAGGAAATACTTCCCCCTAAAATCATTGGTTTTGGGAGCATTTCAGCTCTTATATATATATATATATATATATATATGTGCAAATTATTATTATACAGGATTTTTATAGCGCCAACAGTTTCTGCTATTTTATATATTTTGGTGTCTTGCCATTTGAATGTTTGTTTGGCTAACGCTTAATACTATTACAATCTGTCTCCTTAGCTGCAAGTTCAACCACTGGACCAGAGCTATGCTCTTCTGAACGGGAATCCTCAAGAACACATAGCAAAGATCCATCCACCTGGTCTGTGGATGAAGTTATACGCTACGTAAAAGAAGCAGATCCACAAGCATTGGCTCCTCATGCTGAACTCTTCCGGAGACACGTAGGCATAGTTCTTTTCACAAACATCTAGCCGTTATTAGAGCATTCCATGATTGCAGACATGCTTCAGGGCTGAGGTTGGGTAACCAGACAGGTAGGGTGATTTGGCCCAATCGGCACCAAAAAGCCCTCCTTATGTACTGCCTTCTGAAAACAGCCAGTATTCACATGACATCACTTCCTTCATAGATCCAATGAAGTAAACGCTAGCAATAAACTTCTCTTATTTGCTCCTTTTTGGTCAGCAAAATATACCATTGAAACAGTTTTCTGATATTTGTTTGTTAAAAAAAACCCAAAAACTGCTAATCATGTCAGAAATCCTGCAACTTATAACTTCCTGTTCTTCATGGATAAAGTGCAGTACAGTAGGCATTGTCACCCTACTATAGGAAGTGTGTTTCTGGAAAATAAAACTAATGCAGCCAACACTTCTAAGGACTGTTGCGCTTTAGTATATTCCATTTTTGTTCTTGGGTTCAGCTATGCTTTAATCTTCAGTTCTGTTTACATTAACCACTGCAGGACCATAGGATGTACCTGTACGTCCTGGATTTGAAGTGGTTATCCTAAGATCATGGCATGCTGCTGTCATTGGTGTAATTTTTTTACAGCCGCCTGATCACTTGTACACACCTCAGAACGTGACACCCCTCCTCATGGTTTTTGGGCTCTTCTGGGAGGCCCGGGAACACAGCAAACCGTGGCAGGCAGGAGCAGACTGAATGTCCATTCCCGGTTCTGCTCTGTGATCAGTGAAGCAGGAAGCGCTGTGCTCTCAGCACTTCCTCCTTCAGGGCTTGTTCGGACCATGTCCAGACCAGAACAGTTTGTTCCCGGTCCAAAAAAGTATCCCAATTTATCCCTATAGTATTCATAGGCTCGGTTCACACCAACACAGTCCGTTCTGGTCCAGACAAAAAAATACTGCTAATACTCCCGCGTGTGCGCGGGGGCCGCTAATCGAGCCCCCGGCTTCGTTTGCGGCCTTCTCGGAGGCCGCGGCCGCCATGTTTGTTGTGGGCGCGTGCGCCCTCTTCGTGACGTCACTTCCAGTGCGCCACTTCCCGGTCCCCGTAACAGAGCGTCACCCAATTGAGGGATCGTGGTCTCTCGGATGCGGTTATCTCTACGATGTTGCGGGCTCGCAAGCCTGTGTCCCGACGGATTTACTATCGAACTTGGAAGGCTTTTTTTGCATGGTGTGAGTCGGTAGGATTTTCGCCTCAAACCGGCAGGGGCCGCCCCTAGGCTGTGATTGGTCTTTAGTTTTGTGCCTAGCGTCCTTATCCTGCAGGTGGCGATATTACCCTACAGTACAGGATCTCCGATCTGTTCCCTGTGTCCTTCAATGAACGGAGAGAAAAGGATTTTACGGTGAGTACCAAAATCCTATTTTCTCTGGTCTGGAACGCATGGAAATGCATCACAGGCGCATGCAAATGCACTGGACTGCACCTGAAAGCCCATTTTAAGCTAAAAATTGCTGCAGCAATGAACTGTGATTGCAGATCTGTTCTGGACATGGTGTGAAAAAGCCCTGGCTAAAGTTTAAGTTACACAGGCATCTGTATTCGAGGGCAGGGGAGACATAGGAGTCTAATAGAACCCTAATGTCTCCATAAAGAGAACACCTCCAAAATGCGATCACTTGTTTGATATTGTGATAGCAATAAAGTTAAGTGGAAGAAAAAATTAAAAGTTTTTTTTAAAATAGTGGTAAAAATGAAAACATCTGCCTGCAAATGAACACATGCATACGGGGAATACACATGTATGTAAATGGTGATTGCGCCACAGACATTAGGTATCCCTGTGAACAGTGTGAGAGTTAGAATTCTAGGGCCAGAATTCAGAGTTGACTCTAAACTGATGAGCAGTAAAGGCTTTTAAAGCGTGGTCTATGGACAATTTTGAGTACCATAGTTTTTCACTATTGCACCGGTCTGTGCAATCTTAAGATGGTGCAGATGCAGTGGCAATTGCTTACCGCGGGCAACTGATCGGTGTGATTAGGTTATTTGATCTGGCCATTTTTAAGGCATATTGGTCCTTTCAGTGCTATTTGTGATAGAGATACTGTATGTGATCCTTCTTTGTGACACTGCGGTGCTTGAGTTTTTCCGCTGTTGGCCATGTGACACTGTCCATTTCAGTTTAACCCCTTCACGACTGACGACGTACAGTGTACGTCGATAGCATCGGGGTTGTTTAAACAGACTCGCTGCCGGGACTCTGTTCAAACTTGTAAAGCCGGCTGTCGGCTTTACAATAGAAGGGATTCTGGCGACTCAGCTGTCGCTAGATCGCTTCTATGGCCTGGTGAAGGGAGTGTCTTTTGGACCCCCAGCATCACCTTAAAGAGTACCTGTCACCACCATCTGCTATCACATGGGGGGCTTGTAAGTCCCCCCCCCCATGTGATAGCAATCAAAGTAAAGTAAAAAAAACAAAAAAAAAAACTTTTTAAAATTAAATAAAATAAATCTAAAAATAATTGTAAAGTCCCCTGCGAGCACGCGTATCGCCACGTAAACACACGTCTACGTATGAAAACGACGAACGTGCTACACATGTTGGGTATATCGCCACGCACGCTGGAGTGAGAGCAATAATTCTAGGGCCAGTATTTTTAGGTATCTCTAAATTGATGACCTGTGGGGGCTTTTAAAGCGTCGACTATGGACTTTTTGGGGTACTGGTTTGTCGTCGTTTCACAGACGCACACAATTTTTAACCTGGGCATGTTGGGTATCGTTTTACTCGTTGTAATCTCATATTTTATATTTTATTAAAAAAATGGGTAATTTATTGTGTTTTGGGGCATTTAAGTGCATTTTCAGTAAATTTTGGGGTTTGATAAGGAGTTGCGCTAATATCGTGCAACATAAAAATTTGTAACTGCCGCCATTTTATTCTATAGGGTCTTGGCTTTCAGAAAATATATAATGTTTGGAGGGTTTTAAGTAATTTTCAGGCCTAAAATGTGGAATATAACATGGGTGCAAAAAATGAAAAAAAGGCCTCAGTCATGAAGGGGTTAAAATTAAAGAAGGCCGCTAAGAATAAATCAGCATGTTTATCTAGACTGAGCAGGTTCTTTGTCAGACAGTTAATCCTGGCCATCTTCCAGACAGATTTCATACATCATGACATCCTGTCTACTACCCAATATTGTTGGTGACATCCTAGAATATGTCACCCTTGGGTTATTTTGTAGTTCTTTATTAAGATCTCGCAGTAGGGCTTCTTAATTGGCTTTATTCTTTCTCCAGGAAATTGATGGCTCTGCATTCCTCTTACTTCGAAGCGATATGATTATGAAGTACATGGGTCTGAAGCTTGGCCCAGCCTTGAAACTATGCTATCATATTGAAAAACTGAAACAAGGAAAGTATTGACAGACTCGGCACAAACAGCACTTGTCCATTGGATTTACCTCAAAGTTTGCTCTACCTATCATCTCTATGACAAAGCTTACAAATGCTACAAATACCTCCTGCGGAAATTCAGTGTCTACACTTCAGTATTCATTTTGTGGTGCTTGTAAATTGTCAGGAGGACACATCTCTGAATTTGTGAGTACTAAACGATGCAATCCATTTGCTGATAGACTTTTTCCGGAGTTATTTTTATATGACCAAATTGCTAAATCCCAAAGCAGCATGCATTGTGGAGGTGAAGGGAAACTACAGATGCAATGTTTCAGAAGGCATCGCTTGACTTCAAGCCTCACAAAACAGAACTTGCTTTGCAGGTCCATTGCATCTGACGGAGGGGTACTTTAATATGTTTCTGAGAACAGACCTTACAGTCTGGAACAATACTATGAGCTCTTAATGGAAACTGTATGGGATTACAGTTCTGGTGTAGCATTCATTTTATTTATTCATTTGTTTTCAAGAGGGGGATCCTCTGCTACCGTGTTTGTTATCGGATTACTATGTTCTTTTAGTTTTACTATATTTGAAGAATAGAAGTCTTTGGTTAGATCCTTGCCTGTGATGACAATGTACACAATGCTATTCCTATCTCTACCGCTAGTGGCAGGAGCCATGTTTCTAAATGATTCGACTGACAGGCAGACTTTTGGCTTCTTCTTGCTTACACTTAATACCAATGGCACGAGAGACCTGCCAGCTAATGGTAATGTGGTACATTAAAGCCCCAATGCAGTTGTATGCAGCAGGAAGAATAGACATACATGCTAGGTGTCAACATCATCTTCTGCATACAAATCAGCATTAGCATTCAGCAGATCTGAACACAAGTTCTGGTCTGGTGTTATCATTAACAGCTTCACAGGACATACTACATGACTACAGTATAACTGATCTGGCTGAAGCCTTTATTCAGAGGTATCCCATTGTACTCCAAACCAATGGGTGCTGAAATGGCCAATGGATGGCGCTGCAAGACTAAAGGAGAGGAGTTCACCAGCACACAGAGGTCCACTTCATTGATCCGTCTTTTATTGACATTTAGATAAACATAGTGTCATAAGCAAATGCAACGTTTTGGAACCACGTGTGGTCCCTTCATCAGGCAAAACAATGTGTCACATGAAGGGCATGTGGTTCCAAAATGTTGCATTTGCTTGTGACACCATGTTTATCTAAATGTCAATAAAAGGTGAATGGCTAAAGCCAGTGACTTGGAGGAGACATGATTTTAAATGTCAGTGTCACAGGACTGAAAGTTAAGGTGCACACACACAAGACGACTATCTGACAGATTTTCTAAAGATTGAATCGCGTGGGCCAGGTTTTTTTTGTCCTGGCTTGTTAAGGATCTTCCAGACCTTGAGAGGGAGATCTCCATATGTGGCCTACCATAGTTGTGATAGGACTTCACTGGTTTTATGTGGGTCACCTGAAGCTATAATGGGCAGATTTGCCATTTATACCTATAGAGGTATTAAACCAGATTCAGGTGACAATAGTATAAGTGAGCTCTGGGAATGCGGCAACAAAAATTACGTGATATATCCCCTTCAACCTCCCATGGTGCACTTCATAACCCAACAAGTGATTGAATTGTGCTCTGCTTCACCAAATCTCCAGAAAATCTCATTGTATAAAGAACACAAATTACTCCCACAGTCCAATTATACCTAGTTGCACACAATAGCCTTGTTTGTCAGTCTAGATAACTAGATTTTTTTTATAGATCCAGCCATAGCACACTTAAAAGACAGGTTTGCTTTATAATAAAGACTCCCCAGCATACCCTCCCAAATCTTGCCTGCACAGTTGCTTCCTATAAGCTTGAATGGACTGAACCTATACCCTTGAAATAAGGCCGTAATCAAGTCGTAAGGCAAGGTTTCTACACAACACCTCTGGGCTGTCGAAAAAAAGAGGTTGGGGGTATACCTTAACATAGATTGGGAAGAGGGGGAGATATATTCTAAAGTGATGCTGTCCTTACACAAAACACTTACATTGCATATGCCACAACATTGCCTGCACATCAGTTGTATTGAGCACCTTGGTTTCCCTGGATCTTGACGTGCTGCGTTGTGCAATTATTGACCCAGCACTCCTGGCCAAAGCTTAGACCTCCTAAGTCTCACTATTGGTCCACCACTAGCCAATATTAAGGCTCAGGAGGCAGATGTGGGATGCTCTCAGCAAGGGAAGCTGGCTTAATATTTGCATACTACAGCAGCTCAGGATTCAGAATAACAAGGGTGCAAAGCAGAACTAACCTGATGTGCAGGTAGAGTTTGCTGCGTGGTGCCAGGTACAATTTAAGTTGTTTTCTTGACTCAAGGTCAGCTGTAAAGTTTATTTGTTGTATGGGGCACCTTTTATGTAGCTCATGGCTGATCACCATTAAGGGATGGTGGTAAAATAATTTTTATTTTAGTACATAGAAGTATTCCGATACGTATTTCCTGCAAACACCTTCATCACAAGGGAACATTCCATTTACCGATAGGGATCAAGGAACTCTCTTTATTAGCTATAGTTTGTGTTTTAGAACAATATCCAGGTTTACAGCTGTCTTATGATGACAGTGTTTTCTTCTTTTTAAGCTGCGTTTTGGCAAGTGTGTGCTGTCTTTCTGTTTTAATGTTTGCATAATGTGCTGCCTTATGTTCAGTGAGAGCTTTTCATTTCCTTTTTTATTTTCTGACTCCGTGGAGCTGGCAAGAACACATTTCAAACCCATTACCAAATCACCTAAGGGAAAACCAATATTGAAAAAAAGGGTAGCAATAACTTGTACAGTTCTAGATTTTCTCAGATACATTGTGTATGTTGAACTGCTAATGCATTCAATGTGCAAACCGGTTTTGTTGTTTTAGTCAATAGTTCACTGTTCTATGCAATATTGTAATGTGTCAAAGCTAAATACAATGTATAAAATGTACATGTCATATTTTCTTCTCCTGAGAGTGGGAGTATTTTTTCATTATAACAGAGACATTTAATTGTTATCACATTTAAAGGGCACTGTCACCCAAAGACAGATATGTTAGTCTTGGGGGGGGCAGATCGGTCACCAACAGGCTTCTTCAAATCCTTAGGGACCCTGGAAGGAAGCTCTCCCACCAGAAGATTCGGCACATTGATTGGTATTATGTTGCGTAGTCGTCACTCACTTATAACTGGATTACACATAAAATACACATAGAAAACACTGATCTGGGTGACCCCCCATTACGTAACATAAAGCTGACCAGCCTATAATATGGCTGCAGATGGGACATGCAAAGTGAAACCTTACCTGTGGCATCCTCAAAAGTCCCAAGAAACCGGAAGGTAGATAAACCTACCGACCTCAACCCAAAACTGGGGGATGAAAAACCAACCAATCAACTTACATGCAGCAATGCTTTTCTCAGCTACATGAATTAGGGTGTTACTGCCAAACAAAAGTTCTACATCAGGGACAAGAATGTACACTGCATTTAAGTAGAGGAATGAATGTAATTCACAGTGCAGCTTGGGACAGACAGTTCTCATAAGAAATCTGCAGTGTTCACAGGAAATATTCGGTTTCCTACTGGCTTTTCTATATGTACATAGAAATGTTATAAATGTATACCTAAAAACCATTAGGTGAAATGTGTATTTTCTACAAATTGCTTGGAAGGAAAAACTTATGTTTAGTTGTTTCTCAGGTTCCAGCATATGTCAGTTTCTAAAGTGTACAACTTTTACACAATTTACAAATGTCACAATCATTAACCCTTACAACTGTGTTTATATCATTTTTTATATAAAGATTGTTTCTAAGCTTTGTATTGTATTTAACCTGAGAACTGAATGAGGTTTAAACTTGCTCTGCCATTCGTGTTGGGACCTTTTTATTTTATTTTTTTGTAGAGAAATAAATAATAAAGATGCACTTGCATAACTGGAAGCATGGTTTTGGACATTCCTGATTACAGACGGTTAAGAGACATCTACAGCAATGTAGTGTCTGCATTTTATTGGACTGTTTTTAGCTTTGATTACGGCACACTTTCACCGTGGCATTGTTTCAATAAGCATATGCAATGTCACAACATTTATTTCCGTCCAGAGTTGCATTCATTTTTCACCAAGATCTTGTAGTGATCATGGGAGAGCCAGACCACTGTGTAAAGTCTTCTTCTCTAGCACATCCCAAAGATTCTCAATAGAGTTATGGTCTGTGGTGGCCAATCCATATGTGAAAATGATGTCTCATGCTCCCAGAACTACTCTTTCACAATCTGAGCCCAACAAATCCTGTCATTGTCACCTTGGAATATGCCCGTGCTATTAGGGAAGACTGTGCCATCAGGCAGGTGACTTTGAAAACTAAAGGGGCACGTCTGCACACACTCTCTCCTGCATCCCATAATGCAGTGCTGGGTGCCTGAGCAACTTTCTGTCAGGCCCTTGTACAGACACATTCCTCAAACGTACCTGTTTGTATTTTGTAACTCATAACTTATTTTCATGAGCTACTCTTTAGAGCTGCCCCCTTCCTCTGGAATTCTGTTATTAATGAGTTACTCCCACTTTTCACACATTTACACAGGTTCTGAAAATTGCCTGACAGGCGCAGGCATGACTCCCAGAGACTTGATGAGATTTACAGTTTCACCACAGCTGGAGTGCCAATGTTGCCCACCCCGGGCATAGCGGCAATAATTTGTACTAAAACCAGTAATACAGGAACATGTCCTTGTGTTGAAAACCACGAATAGCCCAGCAGGATCAACTTTAAATAAATAAAGGAAGACCCATTGAAGATATACTACAGTAGTTACTACTACTTCAGTAGTTGAGAATGTTCCCTCAATAATTTGTGTGAATATTCACTTAAATTATCCAATCATATGCAGATAAAATAAGTCGTAAGCAGACCTTTACCACCTTTGACTAAGAACCACATCAGTATATGGCTCTGCATGCTGATATGAAATAATCTTACATAAAATGTTTTCCCACTTCTTGGTCCACTTTGGCACAAATGAGATAATTGTGCCTAAGTGTTGCATTCTGGGAAGGTTACATCAGCAGAGTTCCAGGAAGTAAAAGGCGAGCTAGTAATCTGCCCTTAGTTAACATGCCCACTGTCAGAAGACTGGGGAAGAAAAGAGAAACAAGGTATGTAAAGAATACAAAGTCTGCAATTATCTAGAAGTATGTGTTTGTAGATTGTCATTACTAAACATTTCTAAAGGTGTGTTTGTTGTTGTTTTGAAGATATGGGTAAAGGTCGACTTTAATGCAATGTGAAGCGTTCTGGATTTGTGAATGGGCCACTGCTCAATCTTTAGTTGTAATATATTTTTAATGTTTAGGTTGTAGAATCCGAAAACTAAACGTATTTTGTGGACTATGCACTTGTTAATGGAGTCAGATACAATAACACAAACAAAAATGACACTTCTAACTGCCCTAGTAGGCAGATCTACAGACAGGTATACATTAATGCATCTGTACATTTTTGTTTTTTTAAATGATAGCAGTGTAGTTACCTGAATAGGTGTCAGCCATCTTTTTCTTCTCTGTACTGCACAGCTAAGACTGGGAGAGGAAGCAGCAGCACAAGAAGCCAGGCAGTTGTGCTGCAGTAATCATGTGCTAACCAAGGATTTGCTGAGGGCATAGAGAAAGCAGATAGATGAGCTCATCAGTGTGCTGCTTCTTCCTTCACTGTCTAGTCACAGGCTGGAGGTGGGACAAGACTTGTGTTACTTAAAGTGGACCTTTACCCCCTTTCACTAAAAATCACCTCAGCATGCATCTCTGCATGCTCATATGAAATCTTACATTCCTCAAATAAACATGATTGTATTTTTACATACAATTTATTGTTTTTCCACTTCCTGGCCCACTTTGGCACAAATGATGTAATTGTGCCCAAGCATTGCATCCTGGGAAGGTTACATCAGCAGAGCATTGCTGGCAAACCTCATCTGTAATCTCATGAGATCTAAGGGAAAGGCATTTTCCTCCCCTGAGATGATGTGCATGGTCACATGTCTAGTCATATGTGCCAGAGTTCCAGGAAGTAAAGGGAGATCTAGTAATCTGCCCTTAGTAAACATGGCCACTGTCAGAAGACATTTCTAAAGGTGTGTTTGTTGTTATTTTAAAGATTTAGGTAAAGGTCCGATATAAATGCAGCAGAAAAAAATTGAGTCTCCTGTCCTGCCAGGCACGACTCTGCTGTTTTGCAGAGCTCAATGTAAATCTTGGGGTACAAATCCTTTTCCAGGTAAAACAACTCCCTTATATCTGTATATTTGCCTGCTTGGCTGGAGTTCAGCTTTAAACACAGAATAATAATAATCACCACCAGTGTCACCTTTGTATCAGATGAATGAATGAAATAGTACTGAACACAGGCCTTGAGTTACATACAGTCTATACGTTCCATAATACCAGGCTACTTTCAGACCCATCTTATCGGCATAAGGTGAATATATAAATGGTTGTTAGTGCGTTTCATCTCTTTCATAAATACAGAAAGCCCAAAAGTCCTGCACTAAATGTGACCAATTGTTTGTGCAATACGTCATCCACAATGGACACAGAAAAGTAAATCATTGACACATACAAGTATTTATTTAAATACGCAATGCTGCTAATAATAATAAATACAGCATATGGGCAAATCTTGGCAATAAAACAGTTTTGGCCAGTCAAGCACTCAAGTAAAAGCTTCATAAAATGTGCGATCTCCTTAAAAATACATTATTTTATGACCTTTGCCAATACAAGTGACAAAAATGTCCCAGTTTACGGACTATTTACATTTTCATGGTTTCCCACTGTTTCCCATCTCACATATAATAAATTACAAAGATACATTAAAGGCAAATGGATCCACTCAGTAATTGTTTGCTGTCCCTCGTGTGGCACCTTTACAAACTGTTATGTAACAGATTTTAGAAAGGCAAAAGGATCTTTTGATTCTAACTTTTCAGAGCAAATACCTCCATTTATACGGCCAGCATTTGTTTTTATTTGTAAAAGTTGTTTTTGCAGTAATCTTTTTCTGGCAGGAATATATATATATAAAAAAACAAAAAAGTCCACTCAGAGGAGTAGAGTGGGTTGAGGTAAGACTGGTTTACAAATCTCACACTCTGATACGGTCTTCTACAGCCTCACACAGAGCAGTTCTTGGGTCTCTCTTTTTATGCCCTTTTCATCACCTCTGCTTGGGTTTAGACCCACAGAAGCCGAGAGGAATTTCCAGAACCCAGAAAAAGACGCTGCCTAGATGTCAAGGTATCCTGTGCAGGACTGTAGAATTCATTGTCACTGGATCAGGACACAGAGGTATGATTTTTCAACTTTACACACATACAGCATCACCACCTTCCAGTCATACCCATCAAATGGACAACTTTGAATTGGTTTTAACCTGTCCAATGAGGCCGATCCTATTTCCTAGGAAAGAAAGCGGCTAGTCTTTGTTTTTTGATTGGGAGAATGTGTATTTCCTGTGAATTCACTTTCTTTAATTTAACACTTCTGTTCTTTACTGGTTTCCTTAATGCATCAGCATTCTCCTTTACTTCTGCCTGAGTCTTCACGTCGTAGCCCTGTACTGAAGAGTCCTGTGGTAAATCTCTCTTAAAAGAAAAGTTTTTTGTAGACACACCGGAAAGCCCTTTGATTTTGCCACAGAATATGGCAGGTACAGCATCTTTTACAGAAACAATGACTTTTGCTGTTTGGGAGCCACTCACAAGCTCTATGTTGTTGGTGGTGGTTTTGGGCTCATAGCTACCTCTGTTGCTTTGTTCAGAAGACCATTTCTGCTGTCTTATAAGTTCACTAGAATTAGCGCAGATGACTCGGGTATCTTTCGGTGCTAACTCATGATGCACAAGGGTGGGATTTAGTGTTGTCGTGGTAGGGAAGTTCTTACCAACAGAAGGGCTTGAAGAGTCACTGATCTGCCCACACAACACAGATGTTCCATTCTGAGCACTTGTATTAACACATCTTTTGTACACCGGGAGTGAAAGGTCTAAAACGCCTTCTTCCTCTACCACTTGGTTATTCATACTACTCACATCATTGTTTGTGACCGGTGTTTCGGTTTTCAGTGAAAGATCCAATGCTTCGTTTTCATTGTTCATTTTGATGACAGAGTGCCGATGGAATTGTGCAAGCTCTGGCTTTCCTGTTGATTCAAAAGGTTTGATGTCTTCTTTCTCCATTGGGGTCTGTGTGCTTTTGCAGCTCTTTGGGATTTCCACTGTTGTTTTTTGATGGTCTGCATTCTCTGTACATTCAGTCTGTGGCACTGGTATAGGGATTGGGATCGGTAAAGGTATTGGCACTGGCAATGGGACAATAACTGGATAGGGTACCAGGAGAGTGGCAGGAGGAACTAGTGGTGATAAAGGTGAGCTAAAGGCTTGCGGTGGAATAGTGTGGACATTGGTAGAAGCATAATCCGAAGATATATGACAAGGGGAAGGAGTGCCTAAATTGTTTGGTGATGGAAAGAAATCTTGCAGCACAGCTGAAAAACCTGGAGTTTGGAAAACAGGTGGCAGAACAGTATCTTGCATTGTGCTAGAAGTCTTCTCATCAAGAATTTGAGGCTGACCAACTGTAGCAGCAGTTCCAGGAAAAAGATGGTTCTGAATTGTAGTGCCCAGGTATGGAGAGCCTTGCGGCAATACCAGAGGAGAGTTCAAGTGCTGAAAAACGTGTTGCTCCAAAAGCACGGGCAATGGGACAGGACCTTGTGTGGTGATAACATATGGTGGGCTGCTGTTGCTAGTACCTACCTGAGGTGGCGTACCACCCGCAACTTGCCAGTGTATTGGAAGCACAACAGGGCTTTCTCCAAGGCAAATGGGCTGAAGCACAGTTGCGGCCATTTTTAGTGCTACTCCACTCTGGGAGTCTGTGGATGGGCTGAGGACAGGGGCTGCTGGAACAGTTACCAGAGGAGAAAGAGCTTTTTTCATCAGACCAGATGGATTAATATTCCAAGCTTCTGCGGTAATAAGTTGAGCAACCCCATTCTCAAGTTTGTTTGAGATAGAGGTAGGAGTGCTATTTAAGTCAACCTGTAGTTCTGGTGATTCCTTATAGAGTTCCTCCATCTTTCCAGCAAATAATTTTGGGCCACGTGTTACTTGCTTTTACATGCCCTGGTTGAATTTATTGGCCACTTAACCTGTGCAGCAGCATACATACAATAGCATCTTCATAGCCTGGGAAAAAAAAGAACAAAACAGTCTGATTACATCACAACTATTTGCATGGCTAATCTCTCAAGATTCTAAGGATGTGATTTAAAGGAATTCACATGACAAGGTAAGAGGATGCTCTAAACTTGACCACGCACTGTTATATTTTTTGTTTCAAACGGTGGGCTGAACGGAAAAAAAGAAAAAGATTAATTCATCCTGAAGGAGACAAGTCTCCTCCTGGACTATGGTATTCTGTCAGAATACCTGATTGGCTGCCGTCGCTGTTCACCCGAACAGTGCCACCCACCAAGCAAATTTCTTCAGATCCAGCTGAAATTCTCAGTGTATGGCCAGCTTTTAAACTCTTCCACCATTGCAGGCATCTTATTTAGTTGTTATTGGTATTTACTGTAAATAGCATGACAAAGTCGTGATTGGACGACGGCGGACCGTAGTGTGCGGCCGCCGGATACCTTACACCGGCGCCCGCAACTTCCACACAGGGTCACCGCTGCCGCCCGTCGGCGCTCAGGCCGCCCCGAGGCCGGGCCTCGGTGGCCTTGTGGGAAATCCGGGCCTGCATACAAGGACAATTTAGACCAGAGCCAATTAACCTTTCAGCACGTCTTTGGAATCTTGAAGGAATAACTATAAAACACGTTATTAAAAGTAAGACAGTTGATCTCTCATGAAGTAAGACAGTTGTCTCAGAAGCCTCTGATCAAAGCAGCCACTCCCCTAATTGCAGGCTACATATCGGTACTGGTTACCAAGTGACTTGTATATTATCTGTGAGTCAGGGATTTCCAAGGAAAGGACATATGTAGGCTGTCATTGCTAACATCCTCCTGAAAATACTAGCTTACAGGATGTTTCTGGATGCAATGATTTTAGTCACTCACCCAGGAAAAGTATGCAATAAGTAAAGTCAGAATTCATGATCTTCACTAAGAATTCACTGGTTCACTAAGCAACCTAAAAAATCAGAACGACAGGCAGGCAGCTAGCACTTCCAAAATGAGGTTCAGAAAGAGCAGGCCCTGTATCTTTCTCTTAACAGGTTTACTTTGTTACCATGTACTTTTTTTTTTTATACACTTCTCTCTGCATATCAACATTTCAGTTGTATCCCTTTGGATTTCAAAGTATGAAGATTTAAGCATTGAGTCTTTAACTGCACAAAATAAATGTAATTTAGTAAAAACTGCTTCCAGTAGGAATTGTTAATGAAACTGGAATAAAAGACCTATACGGACTGCCATAATGACCTCTTTCTGAAAGTGGAAGTTGTCTGACTGTCATACTGATCCTCTAACCTCTACTTTCTAAATTATGGTCTCAAAAGAGAACCTTTTATTTGCCAAAGTTCTCTTTAGGGTAACAGAAGGACATTTACTTATGTCCTCCTGACCCAAAACTCAGCATATCGCAGGCTATTGCTTGCTATATGCAGGCAGTACAGAGCCGAGCTGCGCTGTGACAGATCCCGACAATATTGTCAGTATCCTCCCCGCTGCCTGATTGACAGCTAGCTCTGCCTCTCTAGAGGCAGAGCCAGCTGTGCCCACCCCCTCCCTTCTGTTCCTCCAGTCAGCGCAGGAGGAATAGTGACGGTCACCACTCTCTGCAGGGAGAAGATTGAGAATTGAGCGGTCAGTGGTATGTGATCGCTCAATTCTTGATCTATAGAGCTGATGTGTCACAGCTTCAGTACACTGAATGTCACATTCCAGGCTAGTCTTGGAGCTTCCAGAGGTCTAAAAACAAAAGAAGAAAGGGCAGAGCACTTTATACATTCACAATAAGGGAGAAAGAAAATAAAAAAAGGTGAAATAGCAAATAAAGCTGTACGTTCAGGCGTATCATCATTGTTAGAGAAGATAATCCTTGGTTTGTTCAAATAAAGCTTATCTTTCCACTCTGGACCTGGAAAGCGATCCTGAGCTAACTTAACCAGATCTGGAATGCACCACAACACAGAGCCCAGTGTCACATTTAAGGCTAGCCCCACCCTACTGTACAATACATAGGGTGCCATTCACAACAAATGGCACTGCGCATAGAGCAAGTGTGTTGCATTGTGTTGTGGCAACGTGCAATTTAGCGCATGTTGCCACAACACGCAAGTGTGAATTGGCCCCGAAGCATCACATTATGCAAGTTAACTGCGAGCATCTCTCATTAAGCATATCTAATGCAGATGACTGAAGAAACTGGCATGTTTAATTTGACACATAAAGCAAATCAGTGGAGTCATTTGCATTAAGCCATGCGTTTTATGTGTCTTGTCAGATGTCTTCCTTTTAAACACAGATTTTTTAATAGCAAAAAATTAAAACTCAAAATTTGTTAGTGACCTTTAGATTTGAAATATTCTGAGATGTGCTGACCTTCAGCAAGTGTCTATCCAGCCACTTATCAAATCCACTAAAAAAAGGCAAACTCACATTCCTGAGTTGGAAAGCTTGCAGAAAAGTTGTTTGTGCCATTGTTAATTTTATTATTCAAATGGAATAGTTGAGCGGAGGACAGAAAAAAGTACTGCAATGTAATTTAATAATAGTGTGACTGATTGAGAAAAGCACACTATGTCTATGTTCCCTTTAACCACTTCAAGACCAGGTGTTTAGACCCCCTTCCTGGCCAGGCCATTTTTCAGTATTCAGCGCTGCGATACTTTGACTGACGTTTATTCCGTCATGCAGCGCTGTACTGAAATGAATTTTATACCATTTTTTGGGGACAGATAGAGCTTTATTTCGGTGGTATTTAATCACCACTGGGGTTTTAATTTTTTACTATAATTAGGAAAAATTACAGAAAATGTGGGGAAAAAGGGGTTTAAGAGATTTCCTCAAAGGAAGAAGGATTTGAAGATGGAAGTCTATACTAAATGATATTACCATGACTTCTGGTCTGCTCTGTAACATACCGGAATCTTAGGAACCAGAAGCACTCTCTGTTTAGCTACCAGTTTAGCCAAAAAACTTACCGTGAAGGCATTTATTTCAATCTAATAGCCATTTCCTTTTAAGGGGAAGTCCAACTTAAACAAGTCTAGCACCCTGCTAAGCAGGTGTGCTTATTTAAATGTAGTGCCCTCAGATTGTATTCAGTCTGATACTGATCTAATAGTCTATGCTCATTTGGTTTCCCCTAAGCAATTAGGGGAATGTTATTGTTTATCGAAAATTGTTATTGTGTGCATCTGCCTGATGCTGGGTGTATCCTGGCCGCAAAGCAACCAATAAGAGACTGTTATAAATATCTATGTTTCCCTGGCCAATCATTAGGAGGGTTATTGCCAGTGGCGCATGTTGGGAGAGGACGTAAATATTCGATGAGGACCATGTGAGGTTCTCTTTCTCCCCACGGCCCCTGCCAGGGGAGAGGCTGCTATGCCACGCGTGAAAACTACGATTTCGCCCGTTACGTCGCACATGTTACATATCGCCGCGAACGTCGGAGTGAGAGCAATAATTGTAGGGCTATCAATCACTGATAACACTAAACTGATGAGCGGTAAAAGCTTTTAAAGCGTCACCTATGGTCAATTTTGGCCATGGTAATTTTTTGCGATTGTCTGTTCTTGAATGTACTAGTAGCTTTTGATCCAAGTACTGCATAGCCAGGAGCTCAAGACACAGATCTCCACAATTGGCTTAAAGGTCCTATATCTGTGATGGCAGCAAGTACTCTGTTCTACAGTTCATTGGCAGCTGCACTATCTTGGATGTTCTGAGCCCTAACTCTCTCTCCCTGAGTCCTACAATAAAGTTCTTCAGCATCATATCTACTGCCTGAATCTCAGTTCATCGGTCACCACAGAAGGGTGGTAAGTGCTATTGGGGCAGCCATGTTACTAAGATCCCTAGATAGGCTAGGATGACCTGTTTATTCCAGTGGCTCCTTTGGGGGCGACAGCTACACAGATATTTTAATTTGTGGTGGAAGACAAAAAGGTTCCATTCCTATGAAATCATTAGCACTCTGTGTAAGCCCTTTACATGGTTGCTGCCAACACAGAATAAGGTAGTTTAGGGTGAATGCTTGCTTGCAGTAGATATATGCCAAAAAATAAGAGACTTTCATTGTACTTTAATCAGCATGTGAAAAAGCTTAAAAACCTTTTGACTTTAAAGTGACATTAAAGTCAAAAATGTTTTTCCCTCCCCCCAATGTTAGTGTAAGCACTTACCTTAAATGATGTCTCTTAATCCGATCTTATTCTTTCCTGTAGTTTTTATCTGTCCCTCCGGCGCTGCGGCAGGTCTCCGATCCAGCGCTGACTCCTCTGTGCTTGCTGGCACTTCCTGTCCCACAGTGTGTCTGCATGCGGGTGCACGCGTCCATAGACTTACGTTGTGTCTCTCCTCGCGTCCCGGCTGAAAAGGTGATCTGCGCATGCGTCCGCCCCAAGATGCTTTTTGGCTGTCTGAGATTTTTCACATTTTCGGATGGGAGCGCGCGGGGAAGACACAGGTAAGTATTAACCCTTTTCAAAGCATTTTTTTAAAACCATTTTTGCATATATCTACTGCTTACTAGCAGTGGATATATGCAGAAACACCCAAGGCTTTCATTATCCTTTAATATGACTTTAAATATTGACCTGGCCAGTAACATGCTTTCTGTCTGGCTCCACTGTATCTATGGAGGAGGAATGGAGCCACCCTTAGACAGCAGAACTGTCACCCTATGGAGAAGGATGTGTTAGATGAACTAGAAGCTTTAGATGGACTTAAATTAAATCTGAACTCAAGATAACACTTTTTAAGCAGTTACTTTTCCTTTTGGGGTAAATGTTTTACATAAATGAATAAAAGCTGACCATTGTAAGACCCTCTGTCAGTGGTATATGGTTTGTCTCAACCCACTATGTGCCAGGTTTGCTGGACAGTTTGCTATGTTGAAGGAAGTTGAAAAATAACAGACTTACTGGCCAAACAACCAGATGAAAATAAAGCCTAAAGAAAACTACTGCAACCTTTAAGTATTATAAGCTACAGTAT